TCAATATGGTTGTAATAGACTAATTAGGTTTAAATTCTTGCAATCCCCATTCATTAATTTGTACACCCCCTCCCACAAATATTGTAATAGCGTAGTAACTTTAAATTCTGCAATTTATTGCTTTATGTACAAATGTTAGTAATTAGAGTTTGTATGGAAAGACTAAAACCAATACTTAGAAAACCTTAATTCAAGACAAAATCAAGCATGAAAACAATACACTTGCACACAAACACCCCTAGGGTTAACTCCACTTGTTGCGTTATGAAAAATGGTCATATTACACATGTAAGGTAACTTAGAAAAAACAAGCAAATACAAGATCATAGTCCTTCGATGACGCTATCTAAGTTGCCTTTCAAATGATCTTAGTCCCTTAAAGAAAATGCTAAGATACCTTGCAACATTGCTAATCATGTTTATACGATGACCCACGCCCGTCCCGTTTACGTCCAAAGATAGGGTTACTTACCAAATCAATGGTAAGATAACAATGTCAAAGGAAAAGAAAATGAACAAGAAAGACTTTTGAGTAGGTAGAATGCTCCTAATTACTTGCTCAGTTTTAAACAAAACATCCTTGCTATTTTCAAAACAAATACCTACACTTTCAAATATCTTACAAACTTGAAAACATTTTCAAAATATCAAACACTTTGTATATATTCTTACGAACGAGAATCATTACAAAGTTTGCCTAAACAATGACATCTTTACAAAATACTTTCAAAAACCACACAAAGCACAATTTCAAACAAAAGCAAGTGATCAAGCAAATAACTAAGAGCCCATGGAAAACCATGGATGAAAAGGGTGCTAATACCTTCCCTTTTCATAATCTACCCCCCGAACTCAAGAAATAATCTCAAAGGTCTTTCTTGTACTTTTTCACCTTTCCTTTTGGATAAAAGAAAAGTCAGTGGCGACTCTTGCTAACCGCAACATTTGCGATCAAACGCAAAACACCCAAGTCAGTTCTCCCACCGTATCACAGTATCATTCAACAATAGTTGAGTACTCTCAGTGTATTACATATTTGCTTCTTGTAAGTAGATTACACAAACTTTTCAGTACAATGAAGAACACCTAAGTGTTCTTCTGCAAGATACGAGCAACAACTCGTTGCTTATTTATAAAACTATACACAAATGATTTCTCTACAGAGTTTGCACAGTGCTTTGGTGTAGTTTTTTTGAGCTTGATTTAAACCAATAGATTTGTCGTTGTAATGTAGTTTGTTACTTTTTTCAGCTTCCAAGTCTTCCTTTTATAGGTTGTAAAAGAGATCCATTGAAAGGGTAGAAAGGTAAATCGGAAACCTAGTTGTTGGTTCTCAACAATTATAATGAGAATAGTCATTGTCAAGTACAAAAGAGTTGTCATTGCACCACTCTAGAAGATTAGGGGTTACAGTCACTTTATGTACCTTTTGTACACTATCACACATTAACCATTTTGAACTTTTTCTTCTTGATCTACAGAGGCTTCAGATATTTGAATGTTGAGTGTTCAAGCTTGTTGTAGAAGAATCTTTCTTAAGCCTTAGAACCTAAGTCTTGGAGTCTTCAGAACTTGTCACATAGAACCTTGTCTTCGGAGTCTTCAGCACTTGGTTGTAAGAACTTCCTTTTCTTCAGATCATCAGAACTTGCTCAGCAGAACCTTGTCTTTATTTCTTCATAACTTTTAACACACAAAATTAATTCTTTAGAAGGCCTCAAAAGCTAAACCACAAAGCCACGATCAGAACTTCTTATACTAACGTTCTTAAGACACGTTGCAGAAGATCAGTTCAAAACCTTGACTTTACTGAACCATGTAACCACGTGTTTTCTTCCAGAGTGTATGTTCAGAGCCTGATGATGTCACACGTCTTGTACCAGAGTCATAACATTATAGCAGCAGCTACACACTAGACGAAACCATTAGTGTATATAATTGTTCTCTAAGATAACATGTGAAGTTATCATCAAAATATCAAGGCCATGTGTAGGAAACACTTCTTGTTCTTACAACTATATGTTCTATGTCAGAAACTCCGTTAGTGTTTTTGACATGGTGGTCAGTTATGTAATGTTTATAGCTTTGACGGTCGAAGTCAAACTCAAAATTAGTCGACATAGTTGGGTCGAACATTCCACCTAAAGGAGAAAGCTCAGTGATGGTTGCCACGTCGAATAAAGTGGGCGTCAACATCCCACAAGGAAGCTGGAAGGTATTGGTCAAACATTCCTAGAAGAAAATCGAAGCAAGGATCATACAAGGCTTAATTTTGTGAGCATACCTCGACAGTTGAATGGCGTCAAAAATGCTAGCTTTATTCCATCGGGCCTTGCGTTTTGCTTGAACCTTGTTAAGCCAAGCTAAATAGTATTTGTTCCCAGGAGCATGCATAGATCGAAAAACCCTAGCATTAGGGTCCATGAATTTCAAGTCAAGAGGCTTTTTTCTCAAAAGCAGAAGGCATAACATGAGTGAAACAAGGAAAGTATTGTTGGACTTTTGTTGGATGTGTGTTTTGAGTCTAGAGATGGACTTTTGTTGGATATCTCTTTTTATGAAAACTAGTGAAAATGTAAAAGAAGAAGGTAGAAGAAGAAGACTCTCAAAGTAGTATAAGGTTATTTATAGGTGAAGTAAAAATCACTAATGTTGAACAAGTGGCAGTTAAGGAATGATAGGGTGCCTGTTCCGTTTCCATGTAAGTGGGAAGTTAGGGAAAGTGGTTGAAAATCCACGACCTAGGTAGTAGAGGTAATCATGAAAAGTTATGGAGTTTTCCTTGGAAATCGCAATGAAGAAAGTAGCTAACATTACACCTGACGTCCAGAAGAAGATCTAATGTCAAAAATTCATGAGAAGAAAAATGCCAGATTTCTTAGTAAAAAATAATCTCAGTCAAAATGGGCCTTTTGAGGGACAATTTGTTAGCCATACTTTTTGACTATGTTAATTGGAGCTATAAGAGTTGATGCCCAGTGCCAAGTGAAGGGGATAACTTCAACATTGATTGGTTTACCATGTTGGAATTGAGAAGCTTCGACATGTTTTAACATGAGAGGTCATGGTCGAACCTAGGTGAAATCTCAAGGAAAAATCTTCAGGGACTTAGCCAAATTTCATATCAAGTTCTTGTTGAAGCCAAGTCAAACATGCAGGCAGTTGACACAAAGCACTTTTTGCAAAACGGTTGTCGAGAACGAGGAGAAGTTGTCAAAAGGCAGTTTCCACATTAACTTAATACGTGGCAGGACGCGAATGGTTGAACGTTTAGATAACAATTATTTTTATATCTATTTAAGCAAAGTTTGTATTAGTTTTAAAGGTCGCATTTTGTAACATTCAAAGAATTAGTCAAAGTATCAGCATCAAGAGAGAAAAGAGACAAGCTTGAAATGTATGTATGCGTCCAACTCTAATTCAAAGCAATTTATCTTTTTTAAGTTTCTAGTCTTATTTTTATCTTTCCAATTATCTTTGTTTGGTTGTCTTATTTTGTTTCCCAATCTTTACCAAATTCCAACACCAAAAAATCACATCAAATTTAACATTAAGTCTAGGATTTTGTAGCCGATCTTACAAGTAAACTTTAACAAGAGGCTAGAGGTTGTCTGCAAGAAATATGTGCAGACATGTTAATAATCATTTGCTCCTTGTTATATGGAGCGAATCCGAAAAAACGCATCTGAAAAAAGTTTAAAAATTCTCCTTGCTACATGAAGATTCTTCTGTTTAAAAACCCAACAATAACCTATTAAATTTCATGTAGTTTTCCCTTGTTTTTAATAATTTACATATTTTGTCTCTTGTCAAATTGATGATTTTTGAAAAACTCCTTGGTAAATTGGGATTTTTGAAAAATCTCCTATCATGTTATTATTTTTTGAGTTAATAAGTATTTTGTCCCATGCCAATTGGACGAGTTTTGAAAAACTCCTCTTGACTAACTTTTTAGATATTGAATTTCAATCTCTAACATCAAAACAATAAAATAATAATAAAAAATGTCAAATGAAATTTAAAAAAATAAATAATAATAATAATTGTCAATCCATCCACATTAAAAATAATAATTAAAAATTTAAAAAAATATATCGCGTCAGAGATTCTGATGATTGAGTTTTCAAGAAAGATCAAAATAATTAAATCTTAAAATATTAAAGACTGAATCTTAGATTTCTTTTTCAAAAACTTTTCAAAATTCGTACAAATAATAAAAATCAAAATACCAATTAACTTTTTTTTAATTAAATATTTTTAGAGAGAAAAATAGAAAAATCTCAATATAATAAGGAGATTTTTTAAACAAAAATTTAAAGAGAGTTAAATTTGTACATAATTGGGTATATATATATATATATATATATATATATATATATATATATATATATATATATATATATATATATATATATATATATATATATATATATATATATATATATATATATATATATATATATATATATATATATATATATATATTTAAAATTTTATTCACATTCTTCCATATTTCCTTATCAATGTATTTTTCTATTTTTAATTTTTTTTAATAGTAAAAAATAGCACCACACCCTATATTTTGAACTTATACATGCACCGGTTCAGAAAATATATTAATTTTCTTTCAGAAAATTTCTAGAATCTGTTTATTACCTGCATTTTTTATTAAGTATGATTGGTAGTTTTATATTATAATTTTTTTTTGCGCATAAGGATATATTTTAAGTTTTCTATCAATTTTTTTTAATCTCTTTATAAAATTTCTAAAAATATAAGAGCCAGCATTTCTTTTTAAATAAATTTAGTCAAAGAAACCTTTTATTCCCTCCATCTCAAAAAAATAAATTCAATCAAAGAAATTTTTTAAAATAAAATTGAAAACTAAAAACGAGACGAGGGAGTAATAAATATTTAAAAATTTCTATATAATATCAAATTCAATTATATGTTGGAAAAGATAAAAAGAGTGAAGTGAGGAAACATTTGAGAGTGATATCATGGAAGTTGAATACCAGTGGGTGATGGGAAAGTTATGGTGGACAATTGGGTTGATAGTGATAAGCAGGGTTATAATATTGTTGGAGAAAGTGTTGTTTAAGCCAAGAAGGATTCGGTCAGTGATTGAAAAACAAGGTATCAATGGACCAAAGCCATGTTTTCCCTATGGCAACATTTCTGAGATGCAGAAAATTTGTCCTCAACCTTCTGCATCTGCTGATCCGTATCAGGAATGGATTCATTCCCTGTTCCCGTATTTCCAAACCTGGAAACAACGCTATGGTATGTCGATTCGTTTAAAAAATTTGTTAATGTTTTGAGAATTTGTTACTGCCTCTTGGAACTGTTGTTCTTGTAGCTCTTGCTTTTGGTGGATAGTGTCTTTGGTTTCTGTGCTTTTGTATTTGTTGGTGTCGTCTTCCTTTTGTTAGTGTAGTGTCTGGTTTTTGTTAATGGTGTTGTTTTGGTGAACTTGTACAATGATGATCAGGTTCAGTTTATCTATACTCTACCGGACTGAAACAGCATCTATATGTGGGGAAGCCAGAACTGATAAAAGACATAAACCTGCACACGTCCTTAGATCTAGGCAGGCCTTCGTATCTAAGCAAACCATTAATGCCAATGCTTGGAAATGGCATCCTCAGAGCAAATGGACAACTATGGTCTTTCCAGAGAAATCTTATTGTTCCTGAGTTCTTCATGTCCAAAATTAAGGTTAGTATATACTATCTTGTATCTCTGTCTTAAGATTTTGGAGGTTTAGGTAAGTTAGGCATGATTCAACCATTGGAAAACAGTAGGGATATTATTTTGGCACGATATAACTGTGACAAATATTTTATGAAATTCTATTTAATCACATTTTGATTGTGATAAATTTTAGACTCTGAATGATTAGGAGTGACAAACGGGCATTTTTGTTCTGTTTAGACCCGTCTTGCAAAAGCTTACAAAAAACTGAAATGGACGGACATAGTTGATTACACGAGCCTAAAAAATCAGTCCGTCCTACAAAAGCCCCAAAGAAAATAGAACGGGACAGATATAGTTGAAAGTGCAAGTTTTAAACCTTTGTCCACCCCAAAAAAAATGAAAGCAGAGTAGGGCAGGCATGCGGGCCTTGTACCCCTAAAAGTTAAAATTTGCAAATATTTTTGCAATATCCTAGTCCACAAGAAAAAGGGGCGGAGCAGAGCAGGTATATTAGAGGATGCATGATAAAACCTTGTCCCCTCACATGAAAAGATGCGTACAAAACAGATATGCTCCGCGGTTTGAGCCTATTTTGTCACCTATATTTACCGTGGTCCGCTTTGTACCACTCAAAGACTTCTCTGTGTTGATTCACTACTACTTGTACAATTTGTTATCAGTCTGTTTATAAACTATAATTGTTGATTGTTGTTCATTTTATGTAGAACATGATAGATATTATGGAAGAATCCACCTTAACAATTATCAAAAAATGGGAGAGGTGTATAACCGAAAATAAAGAAAAGATTGCAGAGATAGGGATTGAAGTTGATTTGAAGATTCTTACAGAAGATATTATTTCAAAAGCTTGTTTTGGAAGCGATTATGAACAAGGAAAGCAAATATTTTCAAAATTGAAAGATATGCAAGCTGCACTTTCAAAGCCTAGTATACTTTTTGGATTTCTAAACCTAAGGTTGTTTCAAATTTCACTAACTTACACTAAAAATCAACCATTGATCTATTGAGATATATGCTTAGTTAACCAATGCTATTATTATGCATACACAGTTTTTTTCCAACTAAGGAAAGCAAAAAGATGTGGAGGTTGAAGAAAGAGGTGGACGAGTTGGTTATGAACATCGTCCACAATCGTGAAATACAAAACCGAGAGAACAATGTAGATGAGAAACGAGGTGATCTATTACAAAAAATACTACAAGGTGCTGCAAGTGGCGCAACTTCAAATGACGTCGGGCAGAACAAGAATCCGATAATTATAGATCTCTGCAAAAATATATACTTTGCTGGCTCTGAGTCAACTGCTCTTGCAATTTCTTGGACATTGTTGCTCCTTGCATTACATCCAGAATGGCAACAACGCGTTCGATCTGAAATTTTGGATACTTTCGATAACAGTTCGCCTCATTTTTTTGACGACTCTAGCAAATTTCAAAAATTGAAAGTGGTTAGTACTCAGTACATCCCTTCACACTATTATTTAGGCTTTTACTATTTTGCTGTCTTAAACATCTTGAAATGGTGTTACAGTTACAGCGCAACTTATTGTCTGTTTGTCTTTTATTTCTGTATGCAGCTAACAACTGTGATTCAAGAGAGTTTACGTCTTTACGGACCTGGAGTGTTTGCGACAAGGGAAGTTTTAGCTGATATGAAGTTGGGAGAATTCATGCTCCCTAAAGGTATCTTTACGTGGTTGTTCATTCCATCGTTGCATCGCGACATTGATAATTGGGGACCAGATGCAACAAAATTCATGCCAGAAAGATTTGATAATGGTGTTTCTGCAGCTTGTAAGCATCCTCAAGCGTATATACCATTTGGACTTGGGAGTCGAAGTTGTCTCGGTCAAAACTTTGCCATTACTCAAATGAAGATAATACTCAGTCTTCTTATTTACAATTTCTCGTTTGAGGTTTCGCCAAATTATAGGCATTTTCCTGTCTATAATATGTTGTTGATGCCAAAATATGGACTGAAGCTTCTTGTTACCAAGGTTGATAGATCAGGAAAATGATTTTGGTTTTGTTATGCTTCTTGTGTTGTTTCAAATTATTACCGAACAATTTCTTTAAACTTTTTGTGGTAACTTTGATGGTTTTAACTAGTATCAATAATACATCCTACGATTTCAATAATATATCTTACTGTGTATTTTCTCTGATGTATTTTATTTTTCACATATATTAAAATGTATAAGAATTTTAAGAAATAATTTATTCTTGAAAAATACTGTGATAAGTTCTTCGGAGTTGGTCGAGAGAAGTCACGGTGTTATTAGGTTTTAGTGTTTAAAAATTGCTCTCCATTCCTCTTTCTTGGAGCTGCATATTTATAATATATGGTACTTAATGAAATAATTGAATAGTTTTTATAGCCATCATGGTGATGGTTCTCTTGTTACTTTGAGATCATAAATGATATTTTAAGTGGTTATAATGTTTATGTTCTTGGTCTTAATGGCCGGCTGAAATCGGGCTGGTAGATTTATCTGGGATATACATCCCATACGTACATAAGCACTCCAAGCGTGAGGTAAGGTCATCGAGCATCTTGGATGTAGCTGGGCGGCTTGATAGATTTATTCGAGATATACATTCTGAATGTACATAAGCCCCCAAGCGTGAAATATGTTAAAGACGAGACACTTAAGTTATCGGGTGTCCTGGTAGATTATCCGAAATATACATCCCAGACGTACACTACTACAAAAAGTCCTTGTAACGTCGGACGCGAGATTTGTTTTACCTCAGTTACAGTAGCGACGTAAATAAAGTCATCATAAAAGTATGGACATAGCACACTCGTGTTTACAAAATACAATATTTACCCAGAATATTAAACTGGTTACATTGTTTACACAAAATATCAAAATAAAAATTAAATTGTTCATGAAGATCATATGTTGGATCTCCAAATCTTTGATATCCTGAGAAGATTATATGATGGAAAACATATATTTTTATATTTTTCCTTGCATTTATCTCTGATATCAACAAAAAAATGGTTAGATAAAAAAATAGTTAGATAAAAAAAGGGTTAGATAAAAAAAATAATTTTCTTCTCAAATAAATATTTAAGTACACAAACCTTAAACCCAAATAATTTTCTGCTCTTGCAATCCATCATAGAGAACTCTTCATGACAAAGACTCTTGCATATTTTAAAGTGGAGGATAGTTTCAAGTGCTTCATGATGTTTCATTATCAATTTTTGATATTCAAAATGCTTTTATAATGTAAGTTAACATAGGTTTCACGCGGATCACTAATGATAGTTTCTTGAGCATTGATAATCATGAAATTGACAGCGAGGATTTGATTAAGGACGGTGACAAATATCCTCAACTTTAACGATAAAATGTCCCCTCGGTTTTTAGGAACACCGAGGTGCAAGATATTTTTATTTTTTGATAAAGTTATATTGTTTACCAAGAATATTACAACAAATTCCCACTTCTGATTTAGGCTTAGTGAAATTAACAAAAGCATACCCTTTATTCAGCCCAGTTCTGCAAATTAATAGTAAATAACATACAATCATCAATCATAATTATTTTTAGAGAAGGATATGAACACTGAATGGTCTAGAGAAGGAATTCAGTAGCGTACCTGAAATCTATCGGCAAGTAGACAATTTCAAAGGAGAAAGTGTTTTCAACAACAGAGCTTTGGTGGTACCCAAATTTTGTTGAATATTTTTATGTTGCACATCCAAAAGGCACTCCATAATTTATCCAACTTCAGATAAGTTATTTTATTTTATGTACTTGCAATCCATCTCAGAGATTTGTTCTTAAGCGATTCTAGATCAAAAGTTTTCATGGCAATGGACAGTAGTAAATATTTCCTCTATCAGGCGCGGCTATGTATTAGTTAGAATTAGGGTTAAATATGTTTAATAAAGGTGAAAAAGTTTTTTTTTTTAAATTTACATTGTTTACACAAAATATTAAAATAAATGGTTTAAAACAAATGTTTGCTCTTTTGAATGAATATCTTTGCTGATATCCATCATCCGATTAGTTAAGCTCCCTTTATTGTGTAAATTTTAAAAAGAGAAGGGAGCTTCCTTCACTTTCCTCTTGAGTCAAAAATGATTTTTCTGCACTTGCAATCTATCTAATGAGCACAGATACAACAACACTAACAGAAAAAACATTTTGTTCCATAAGAACATTAAAGGTTTTTTCTATCTTGCAATCCATCCTAAAGAATGGTGCTTGCAAGTTTGAGGCGACTACAATCAAGTAATGATTAGGGTAAAATCTTTTTGCTTTTATAGTGAAATCTATTTAGTTGATCCCTTAGTTATATTGAAAACCCGAAGGATTAGTTGTTTTAGTTTACAATTATAATTAAAATAAAAACATAAACTACAAAAGTATAGACTCGAAGCGTGTCCATGTTAGTTTTACCCGTCAGATATATTAGAAAACGAGGTAAATTGTTATTTTTATAATTAAAAAAATATAAAACATAGCGCGCCTAGGCTTAATATGTAACACCCCATTTCTATCCAATAAATTATATAAAAACAGAGTTTCAAAATTTCCAACAACATATGGAATGTTACACTATCGACTTAAAACAACGACAATCAATCACCTGTAAATCAGATACATAACACAATATTTCGAGTGGAGCGATAACAACCTGCTAAATCTTTAAAAATAAAATAACTTTTATTACTACGCAACGGATTCACAAAATTCAACTGAAAACACCATAACATCTTGTCCAACTCAAAACAACTTTAAGACAACAAGTCTTTAATGAAAACAACTTAAAAATTTAGCAACATAATAAAAATCAACAATAAAGAAAGCATGCGTTCATCCCCCCGAGTACTACGTATCAGAGCGACAACACCGACTCTGACTAACAAAGATACTCGATATCCTTCTTGATTACTTGCACCTTACCAACAGAGGGCAATATTCAAACAGAAGGGGTGAGATATCGAACCATATAATTGAGTGTATAATAAACAATATATTAGATCAGATTATATAAAATCACCATTCATAACTTTCAACCAACATCAATCATCACAAGTCAATAACACAACAACTTAAATATGCAACACAAAATGTGACTCATTATAATGCACATGCATATGGTACCATTATGTAGCGGTAGAAATATTTAAGACTAAGTCATTGGATTGACTAGACTTACACAGATCAAAATAAAAATTGTCACCGTGCTTTATTGTTTCCAAAGGAATGGGAAAAGAGCAAATAACCCAAAAAGAGGGGGAAAGATTCAAGGTAATGGGGTTGGTTATGGAAAGGGAAGGTATTAGCATCTTAAACATCTACGGTACTCCACAGGAACCTCTTTGAAAAAATCTGTATATTTTAGCTATAAAATGTTGTATGTAAAATAGATGGTGGAGGTGAGAAAAGAAATGTATTTTTATGATTTTTGCACCTACTGCGGTTGCGAACCTTTAGTGCCTACGTACCACCTTTCGTGCAATAAGGGATCAGGGTACACGTAGTTCACCTTTTAAAAATTTTAAAACACAAGTGTGTTGGTTTATTTTATGAGATAAGAAATCATCATCGTTGTCCATGTGGAAAACATACTTACTATCCACAATCATGAGAAAGGAGAATTTGCATCATCTCAAAGTGTAGGATATGGCTTGGATTTTAAAACCAACAATGCCTCACTCAACACCCAAGTGGAAAATATCACTCTTCACTACATATTGTAGAAGTATAGTTGTTTACATCACTACAAGGACTGAAAAGAGTCTAATCTTTTGAGAAAAGTTTTAAAATGGAAATCCAAAGTGGAAAAATGGTTCGAAATGAGATTGATTGACTTTTAGTCTTCTCAAAAAAATGTCAAAGTATTATTTAAGTTTATTGAAATTTGTTTATGAAAAATGTTTTCAAAATGCATGAACATAAGTCCAAGTTTATTATGGAAGTGGTTCAAGTTTCAAAACAAGACGAGTTTTTAAAAGGAGGAAGAAGATTTTTGAAATTAAAGAAGATGGGAGGAGAAGAAGAGACTATCCTAAAGCATAAGGTAAAAAGCTAAGGATAAGAATCATCTAACCAACAAGAAGCCAATACTTGACATTATGAGTCAAGAGAGAATTCTCATTCCTTGGATTGAAACCAAACAAGCAAAGATACTAGACCTCTTGAGAGAACCAAACTTCAAATGTATTAAGTCTTCACAAAAATTGGGCAGAGTAACGGCTGTATACGGGTGAATTCCAGATTACAAACGAAGTATGTAATCACAATAACCTGCACACAAAACAAACAAACAACTCAATATCTTGAGGTAAACCTCAAGAACTCCAGACAAAATATCAATTAAGGTCACAAGGTCTCCAACATAGGCCAAGGTTTCTAATCCTAAGTCCAAGAAGTCCAATACTCCATAATGCCAAGGATAGTAACCAAATAGTCAAAGTATCATTAACGCTTTTTATGGTTCATGTTGATTATTAGGTGTCTTAAAAAAGAAAGGCTTAAGTGAGCAAAATAAAATGACAAGAATATAAATTCTCAAGTGAGCAAAGATGGAAAGTATGATGAAATGTAATGCTTAAAGTAAATGGTACATAAAACATAAAAATAAAATCATAAAGTAAAATCAATTGTTAATAATTAGTGATTAGTTGGATGACCATCTTGAAACTTGCATTTGGAACTCATTAGAGGATTGGTAGAACCAAAGCCTCCATACAACAAGTTGCATTTGCTTTTTGTCAAGTATATCATCCATTTAGAATTCTCACCAATACTCTTTAATGATCAATGATGTTTAAGTGATCTGCGTTGACCAAAAGTATTGTAGATCCATTAGAGGATTGATAGAACCAAAGTCTCCACACAATGAATCTCAAAGTTATTGGATCAAAGAGATCAAATTAACATACTTGGGCTTGCAAACATAGGTTTGGGCCACGAATGATCATTTATTCGAATCGGGACAAAATTTAACGCTATGTTAAGCAATCGTAAGTGGACTTATATAGAAGTCACAC